AGCGATGGCGGCGGCAGAGCGGGCGGCGGCAGCGGCGATGGCGTTGGGGGGGGGGAGAACCCCGGAAGAGGAAGAAGAAGAGGAAGAAGAAGAAGAGGAAGAAGAAGAAGAGGAAGAAGAAGAAGAGGAGAGGGAACGGCGTCGTTTCTGGCCCACAATTTGAGCAGGGGGAGGGGCAGGAGCGGCTGCGAGTTAGCAATGTCTTGGAGAGCTAAAGAACAGATAAACAAGGCCAAGTTCGGCGAAGGTGTGAGAGGTTGGACGAAGAACTCACGCTCAGGACTATCTACGTTGTTGTCCTCTACACTAACCGCCACCATATCATCATCCGAGTGTTCCTCTAACTCGGTTTCACCCTCCGACACGATTCTATCATCCTCATCACTATAATCACCCCCTTTTCCTTCGAAGTCTGACTGATCGTCCGACTCCGAACCACTGAGCGACTCCTGGTCGGAGGAGGACGGAGACTCACCAGGACGAAAGGCGGGCGTCCTGCGGCGAGGGCTGGCGGCAGGAGGGGAAGCAGAGCGAGAACCAGGAGGAGGAGAAGCAGAGGGAGAACCAGCGGGAGGACCGGCGGGAGGAGAAGCGGAGCGAGGAGGCGGGACATCGCCAGACGGCTCCCCCAAAGAGAGGGTGCCGAGGCCGAGGGAGGAGACTTGGCGAGATCTGTCGCCGAAGGAAACTGAACATCAGCCAAGTCCGGCGAAGTAAGGTAAGTGTCGAGGAATAACTCACGAGCAGACGACACCATACCACCAAAGTTCCTCATGGCGGCGAAAGGGTTAGATGTAGGAGTAGAAGGGGCCATGACGTTAAGATATTTAAATGAGAATAAAACTCGAGGCGATGATTCAAGGTAACAAATCTGTTTTCTAGGTAAGAGAGATAGAAAGTTTTGAAAGCAGATGGGAAAAAGAGAGAAGCTCGACGAACTGCTCAGTATTTAGTATAATCAAACCTAACCCCTCGTCGTCAACATGCAGCAAACTTCGCGTTTCATCAACAAAAGGCATCGCAGGGACGATCAAAATTCCCACGCTATAGTGTCTCATCTCAATATAAGCGAGGGTTACTTCGACAAACAACGGTGTTGTTCGGCTGCCATTCAGGAAGCGTGTCTCACCTACAAAAGACACAGGGCTTCTTACGGCAAACCTCGACGAAGTTAGGGGAGTCTCATTGTCGGGTTCTGGAGTGAAAGGAGGCCCAACTACGAAGTGCGGCGCAAAGAGCAGAAGAGTGGAGGATGGTCATGGGGAGGGAGAGAATGGGGTACTACGCTGCTAAGTTCTCTTGCCACGACAGAGGTGTAATCGCTCACGAGGACGTTCGCGGCTAAAGAAGGGGGCGACTGTCACGAACTACGTCGTGACACCTCGATTACTCCACCAACAATGACCCTCCTTTGGCCATCAAAACCCCATCACGCCTTAACCTCTTTACTCTACACGTAACTCAGGACTTCTGACACCAAGTACGGCGAAGTTAGACGGAGTTAGGCTAAGTAGGGACAATGGGAGCAGAAGTACGGCGAAGTTAGACGGGGTTAGGCTAAGTAGGGACAATGGGAGCAGAAGTGCGGCAATGTTAGGCGGGGTTAGGCTAATTAGGGACAATGGGAGCAGAAGTGCGGCGATGTTAGGCGGAGTTAGGCTAAGTAGGGACAATGGGAGCAGAAGTGCGGCGATGTTAGGCGGAGTTAGTCGAAGGAGGAAGAGGATGGCCGAGGGCTCGGGGAAGTTGGACGAAGTGCGTTGAAGTACGTCAAAGCGCGAGAGGGTTGGATGAACGTCTAGGAGGAGTAGATAATATTAGCTGAGAAGATCGCTGAAGTTCTTCAGCGATCCTTGATTGTTGTCAGTAGTGAAAGACATAGAGATAGCTATATACAATCGAGATACATCGCCATCAGTAGAATAAAACCTCAGTTAGAGTAACTACGCCGAAGTACGCCGTAGTTACACTCCTTTCGACGTCTGCGCCCTCCTGGTTGGGTGAGACATCGACTTAGAAGCGTCAAGTTAGCCGAGGTTCGTCGACCGTCGGTCTACTAGAAGATAGTTGTTTGACAGCCGTGACAAGGACAGAGGGGTCGGAAGGAATGTCCTCGCATGCTCCGCCCGCACCTAACTTGGCTCCGTCGCAAGCCTAATGGCCAATCACGTGACAATGTTGTGCGTGAAGAGATTTCGTGTTGTGCGCAAAGTTGGCTTCCGTAGTTAGCCGAGGTTTGTCGACCGTCGGTCAGTAGAGAAGAAGAAACGACGTTCGTGACAGCCGGTACTTGGCTTGATAAAGTCTTTACTTCTATCAAAAAGCAGAGCTTTTATCTAGTTTGCCACTATTCAGCCGACTGGAAAGTATTGAGAATCATAGCCAGAAGATGATACCCATTTTGACAAGTTTGGCAGGAAAAACACTGTTCTTGACCGGAACGGACTGTTGTCTAGACTCTCCCAGGACAGATTGCAAGGGTACAATATACATAACTGTCAGAATCACGGGTACCTATAGACGGGTTCCTCAAGAGTTGTACGCAGAAGTCGTACTCCACCTACCCGTTCCCGTCCCCGCTTCACTAATCCCGCTACGGCATCCTCCGTTCTCCTATCCTACCTAATCGCTAGTTCTTTACCGTGCTATACTTTTCCTTCATCTCCGTGTCCCTCATCTGTCTCCGTCTTCCTTTGGTCTATCACCCCATATAGTTTCCCATCTTTACTCCGTAGATTTCGGTATCACTCTGCTCCCTTTTTAATGTATAGAAACAGCCCTTTTTCGTAGATGTCTTGTTGAATGTATTTTCTCGTCATTTAGCAAATCCTTTGCCACTTGATCCCATCGACTTATAGTCTCTTCAATCCACTACATCACTAGACTATAAACTACATCACTAGGTCTGTTCCCCACGAGGCCCTATAAGCCGTAGCTCATAGGCGCAGACTATTTTCAACGTCTGGTCCCAACAGTAACATGACATCTGTTAGCAGATGGTGATAATGTAGATGATTGTTGTGAACACAATCTGAAAGTGTTTGAGAGATGTACAGGCCAGACTGAGGGATAAATCACCAACTCACTGTTACACGCGGACTTTCTCAGTCAGAGTATGTACTTTGAAAACGTTTTCCATGACACTTGGCACCCAACTGTATGACCACGACTTTGAGTTTCTGTAAGAGGCAGAGCACAGGTGACCTTCTCTTGTCATCCATTTCCTTCTTACCTTCACTCGAATAGCCAAGGTGATGGTGCTTGGAAGTTGGACAACCATGGAAAGCGCAAAAATCCAATGTCTCAACCCTATCCATGCAAGGTGCACTAGCCAGAAGATATGATAACAACATTGGTTACTGGTAGTACAGGATTGCTTTATCCCAAACTCTTTCTAGGATTGAACTCACCGTCTTACTTCTTTCTCCCAATGCATCCAATCATCATTTCAACTCTACTGCGTACATGAAGTGACCGTTTGAGTTCAGTACCAGTAATGTAGATTGTGACCTACACTCAAACAATACCTTTCAAACATCCAATCATAAAGCCTTCAGTTTGTCTCCGCCTCTTCAGTCCTCCCTGGTCCAAGAGTGTCCCTATCTCCAGCGGATTCATTTGAGATACTTGGTTCATATACATACTCTGATACATGTGACACTGCACTTGCACAAGTGACCCCTGGGGTGACTAGCAACACAGAAAACTGGGCGCATACCTTCCCATCTGGTAGTGGCAAGAGTTCAGCATTACCCACGAGCCACTCCATTACCGTTGTCTCGTTGGTCTCGGGCGGAAGCCTGATCATAGTCTCTGGGTTTCCAAAGACAGCCGCACGGACAGTAGGGTCTACAGGTAGCATGCAGCACATGCACCCTTCCTCACCACTACCAATGGTTGCGTTGTGCTCACGTGAGGCTACATCACAGATCAGATGATCTTGCAGTTGGCTTTCATTTGTGGGATGTTGACTTTTGAACACTTTGCTCTGTAAATACCATATACAAGTGGAAGCAATGAAAAAAAGGGTGACATTATAACCGTTCAACCTTCCTGAACTTCTCAATTCTGCCAGATTGGGCAGCCACTTGACCAGGTAAGGTGCACATCGATCAACAACAGTGGAACAACGGGTTCTCCTCCTCGAGTTTGTTCCCTCAGAGTATTGATTGGGCTTTGTGGGCTCAATGTCCAACACTGTAGAGCTCGAGTCAATGCTGGGGGTTTCTTGATCAGACTCATCGTGATCGGATTGTCCACCTACAGATTCATCAGGATCACGTGATGAAAGCAGGGGCTGCATTTCTATGTTGTCTGAAGCCATCTTCTCTTGAGAGGGGAGTGGTGGCGGCGAAATGATTGAGGGTTGGTTGATGGTTGGAGGGGATAGAAGATTCACAGTTATTCCATATTCTCACGGATGAGTGTTGCGGATTTCAAATTGGTGAATTCAGTCTGACCAATCCAAGGCAGTGCTTGAAAGGAGAGTGAAAAGCTGTGGGGAAGAATGAGCATGATTCTAATCACTCTCAATCTGGCTACAAGATTCTTTACCAGCAGAATTCTATGACCGGTGATCCTCAAACATATCATGTTGCGGGTCAAAACTGCATGCTCGCAGGATCTGCTTGGTTTTCAAAATAGCGGAGGGGGAAATATCCGTGTCTCATGCCACATGGTCGAAACAAGTTCGGTAGGAGACTCATGTTGTGCATCACACAATAAGGACTGATGGACTTTCACAAACATAATGACATGTAACAGTTCCAAATTCCAGTTGTATCGGTAGAATCATTGGGTTTTATCTACAATTGTGTTATGGAATTCTTTGGCTTTTTACTTTCTTCTGCAAGGCGGATAATTCCCTCTAAACAGTTTTCACCCGGTATGAAGGGCTCATCAGACAGAAAGACACATCCTGTTGACTCTCTGAATGATATAGCAGTTCCCGACACGTAGTTTGCCAAGGAAGGCGTCAGTGTGGCTGTGAGACCACTATTGTCATGGGTCAATTCTCTTCGATCTGCCGCATAGGAAGCCGCAACCATGCAACAACGACAAAGACCATGTCCATGTCCATGAGTATGATTGATCGATGCTGTGGCTGGACCACAAGTTATCAGTGTGTAATTGGGAACTGTTGACTTTGTCGGAGAGCCAAGACCGAGAAGCAAAGCTCCCAATGGATCCTTAAAGGAGCTCCTCAAGAGCAAAAAGCTAATTGCCCCGCCGAGACTCAACCAAAATAGACGTTTCTTGGGCATGTCAAGCACACTCACCAATGAACCAATGGGATCAACCCGGGACTGGATTATGGTCACGGCCGATTGCCAACATCCACGGAGGGTCCGGTTGGTTCGCAGTCTCGCCAGGTTCTGCCCCTCTGTGTCACTCCCCCGGTCCACTGTGTCATCATATACCACAACGCTTGGGCTGCTCTGTGCAGATATGATGCTACGACTGCGGGTGTGGTGAGCGGGCGGGTAACTTGACTCCCTAGGGGTGTCAGAGGTGGTTTCAGTGGTAGGGGTGGTTTCATTCGAGGGCATGTTGTATCCAATCCAAAATGACAAGTAAAAGCTAGGGAAAAGGGCGGGAGGTGTTGATACTGATGTATATGTAGAGATGTAATGAAATTACTTCCTCCGGCCTTCTAAAACTGCGGAATAGGTGAGGGAGAAAGTGTGGCGCAAGCAATCCAGGCAGTGCATCAAAGGTTGATTGTACTCTTTCCCCCAATGGGGAAAGTATATCTCCCTTAAAAAGCTACAGGATGACGCATCATTCACACTCGAATCGGATTCAGTCCTCATCGGAGGGTTCGTGCATGACTTATTGATGAATCGAAGCCGCCGTCTCCATCTTGAACGGTTCATTCATTCGGCCAAAACACAAATCTGAAGTCAATTCAGCAAGTCAGCTTGGATCAGGCAGCAAGATGATTTCGGGCCCTTTACTACGTACTAGTGCGCATGAAAATACATCTGTCACTGACTCTATCATAGGTGCTGGCATACTTATTCACCAGACCAATGCCGTCTCACCACATGTGAGCAGCGCACGGACCTCCTGGATGGTGTCTCGAGTTTCCCTTTGGTGCTTTCCCTAATAATCGTCCGGTTCTTCCATTGGAGGACTGCTAATGCAGTATGATGATTCGATTGGTAGGCTACTTCCTGTCACTTGAAAGAGGAGGTGTCCTTGCCCGGAGTCTTTCACGTCGGTACAGGAGATTGAAGGGTTATGGTCCGCGGCGTCACAGCTCAGGTAGGAGAAGGTTGTAAGTCCGTCAGGTAACGCAGGACATTGTGGCATAATGCTTGCTCGAGGATCGTCCTGACGCGCTGAGAAGTTCCATATCTTCGAAACCTGAGAGTTATTTGACAGGAGCAACCCGTGCATGATCGCTACTCCGGTAAGGGTGATAGCAAAGCTCCGTACACCATCTCGAATGTGTTCCCTGTAGTCCCTTCCTCTCACTGTGCCCGCAAGAGATTGGCAGATAGTTCCGATCCATGTCCGGCGTGTCTCAGTAGCGTCAGTTGCTTGAGGAATTTCATCCTCCCTCATTTGGGTTGGATTATTATTGGCTTGGTTTGGGTGATTGTCCGCCATGAGGGTCAAGAATGTAGGGAACAGAGAGGAGCATCACAACCTTCCATATATGAGCACCTTCTCCAGGAAGGCAATGAATATTAGACCCATTGGGACATGATCTTCCCATAGATTATATAAGATTTCCCATCAAATTCTTTCATCCCGGGACGCCGTGTATTCCCAACGGGGTATATGACCAGGGGAGACATGCCGTGTTTGGAGGTAGACCGCACTTGGTAACCTCTGACGACTATGATTTGTTCCAAAATGGAACTAGCTTGGGAGTGAGTTAGTAAGTTGAGTATGTTAGCCGATAGAATCGGTCCGCGATGGCCCAACCGTCAGTAGAAGTATTCCCCCTTTTGTCACTTTTCTCCTTTGTATTGATGTCCTCTGAATTATATTTGCTAGCGTCTGGTCTGCTGTGTATGAGTGGAATATGATAAGTATAGAGAAATGTAGATTTAATCTATTTAACAAGCAGGTACGGTGGTGCATAAGACAAACTGTATTGCAAGAAGTGTGTCTCTCCAGGGTCCTTGCCTCTCCGGTCTACCCCTTCTACTGTAGGGACCTCATTTACACCAGGGAGTCACAGTGTCATCTAATTGACTGAGTCCACTTGAGCCCCATCCCGGTCTTTGGGCACAGTAGTCTCTCTCTCTATATCAGCATCATCCTGATCAACCAGATATATGTGCCTATTGACATGAAACACAGGTTCTAGACTGGAGGGACTTGTACCAGTCTCTCCCACTGGCTGTGGACCGTTACTATCCTCTGCATCTGAAGAATCTTCCTGTTTGGGGTGCCAAGATCCAGGGGTAGCTTCAACAAGAAAACAGTCAATCATTGCATTATTTCCTAGCCAATCTGCTGGCCCCACACGTCTGTGAGAAGTAATACACTCTGTACGGGGGGCGGTGGATTTGATTCTGTCATGTGGGTGAGGAATAGAGTCAGTGATGGTCTCATCCAAACTTTGGAACAAGACGAATAGTGTCCATAAAGTACTTAACAAACCACCTTCGAAAACTTCAGGGGCTATGGGCTCTTCAGAACTTGACACTGAGGCTATCTCCACAGTCTTCTCTCAGGGTTCACATATGATGGTCCAGACATTGTATCTATCAGAGGAGTCTGTTCAGACATTTCTGGTTGTGCTACTGAATTTTGGTGGGTGCCAGAGGACATATTAAGTGGTATTGTAGAATAGAACAGATTATGCATGTTTCAAATAGTCTCCTCAATTGAAATGTAGATCAAGAAAACTATGGCTTGAACAGGAATGTATTTATGTGGAAAGCTAAGACAGTGGAGCTTAGAAAGAAAAGTGGAAGGCTGAGTTGCATACTCCATGGCTGGACGTGAATCACGGAAGGGTCAAAGGATACTTTCGGTCTCGACTTGTGAAGTTCAGTGAGAGTGTGGGAATCATCCTCTCCCTTCAGGAGAAGTGTGAAAGGTTGGATATGGCTGGCCAGAGCATTCTATTGGTTCTTGGTATACTAGAGTAAAGCATTTTGAGTGATGTTTGAGGAGAAACAACTATATTAGCTGCTGGGTAACTAAACCAGTGAATCAGTGTGAAGCTGGGATTAGGACTAGGTGGGAAATTGGGAAAAAGCAATGCTTTCACAAAACAACAACCAATGTCTTGGAGGATACTCTACCTTGACCCATTCTTTCTGCTATTTATCCTTGATACCAGAGGGTCCCCAAGTTGAAATTCTGCATGTTGGGTATACAAAAGGGCGCATATCACACTTGTCCTTTCCCTAGCCCCGGAAACATCACACCTACAGTCTTTCTGTATTGGACCCACTTTTCGTCATTGGCGAATTTCTCCTCCGCTTTCTTTTCCAAAATGGGGACACCGCTTCCGTATCGCAAGAGGAGGTAAGACAATAAGGGTGAGGCGAAGCCGACATATCTAGCCGGCGGAGGTAGACAGAGTCCGAGGACGGGAGGACCAGCTTGTAAGATTACTTCACCCAGGTAACTGGATCGTTAGCGCTCATCTGTCTTTCAATAAAAGGGTACCGGACGGGTCATTTGACGGAGTAAACATATTGAGACAAACTCACTTTGGGTGACGGGACCAGCTCCATACACCTGAAGAGATGAATCGTTCTTCGTGCTTCTTCTCATCTTTTGACTTGCGCCAAGCTGACTTTTCTGAAGGAATCAGTCATTTGATAATGAAGCAGTTGACAAATTTACCTCTATCAGCTATAATCTCTAAACCTATACCGCTTGCCCAAATCCCCACCCCAATCAGATCCCGAATTCCAAGACCAGGGTGTGCCGAGCGAGGCATGATGTTAAGCATCACGGCCGGAAGAGTGACTACTGTTATCCACGTAGCTTGGCCCAACCTGCATGTCAGCCGTATCTCATTGGAATCAGCAATCAAAGAAGATGAGATAGGAGAAAACCCACCATGCACCTGTGAAAACCAGCGGTTGCTTCTTGATCTCGTCAAATCTCGAGTCAGAGCCCTGTTTGGCAATCCTCTATCTTGTCAGAACCAGTGTTATCAAAGTCCTAACTGAGTTATGTGATGACTGTGTGTGGTGATGTGCAAATGATGGAAGAGACTCACCAGAGCGAGAAAACTTCCCAATCGCCCTGCCCAGAAAAGCACCATGGCACTGACCAGCAACTGTCGAGGGTGGAAGTTTTGGGATGTTGGTGCCGGCCACGTTACCTTCTTCCCCGAGAGGAATCCTCGGAACTGAGGGTAGTACTAGACATTAGTATTGAAATTTTATACCGTTGGGTAGAGGCCAAACACACACTCACCAGGGACAAGACTATAGTAGACATGTGACCAAGGGCGCCCACCAAATCGTAGAACTTTTCAGTTTGAGCAGGCACGGCATAAGCCGCGAAGATGGATTGAAAAGCGTACCTAACTGTCAGCTGGGAGCCAAACTTAGTCATGAAGACAAGGAAAGATCTGGGGCTTTGGTAGATGACGGGTGAGAAAGAGGGAAGGAGACGGGATCGATAGAATACTGACGTAAAACCTACGACCCCACCGAGCCGGGAGACAGCTCCTGGGGGAAGACCCAAGGTACTCATACCGCTGCCCATTTTGCAGCACTCGTCAGTTGAGATAGAGAGTCGCTCGGATGGTGAATATTCTCCTTTTGTATGAGGTAAGTTAGATGAGGGAGAAAAGATCAGCGAAGATGACATGACGTCTGACTTCAGGGGAGAATCGATCGGGAACTTTGCACGTGACCCTACGTCACTTCATGTGGCCACCCGCGCACGGAGCATTTTCTATCCTTGTGCCAGGTAAACCCCGGACTATGAGCACGAGTGTTCTATTCTGTTGGGTTTGGGATCGGGTTTGACGGATAACTAAGGGTAGATCATGGACATCTCCAGGGACTTACAGCATGGACCCGAGAGGAGGGACCGAAATGTGACTAACTTGGTTTTGCTTCTTGGGGTTTCCAAACATGAGTTATGCATACTACACCGGCGGCACTACCATGTGTACAATACCCACAGTTTCTGGACGTGGCTGATTGTCTAATGTACAATTCACCTCCGCCCCCTGTTGAGGCACGAAAGAATGGGGCAGGTGATAGCGCTTTTCCAACCAGTAAGCACCTGGCAAAGGTCCCTCACATCAAGAGTCTCGGTTTCCCGTTGGTGAGACTGGTCAGAATGCTCTCCATCCGACTGAGGAGCACTGACTGAGTCTTGAAGTAAAGGCACAAGTAGCCTTTCCCACTGTTGTATCACCCTCCTTCCAAACTCGGTCCGGCTTGCAAGTTCAGACTGCTGCACTCTTCTTGCACCCAAAAATTGGACTTCTAGACGCATAATCTTGGTAATTTGTGTATGAGGGACTAAGAATCTGCCGCTGCGGCTAAGCTTTAACCCTTTGGGCACACTGATAACTGTCTGATGGCTTTCTCCACTAGGTGAAGACAGCCTGACTGTCACCACATTTGGTGAATCGGAACCATCCAAGTCAAAAGACATCTGCTCTTGTGTGTTAGCCGATAGAATCGGGCCAGGACGGCCGAACCGCCATTAAGAATTACCCCTTCCGTCGAATATTTCTCCGTTCAACTTATCCTCTGAACTTTATTCGATCGTCTCTGGTTTTATGCGTGTGAGTGGAATGTGATAAGCATAGAGACATGTAGAATTGATGCATGCCCTTTTTCCCCTCTGTATTATCATCTAATTATCAGTAAACATTGTGGTGGGCAGAGCAGGTATACTCTCAGTGGATCCCAAACATATCCAGTTGGAATGCCAAGACACCCCAAAGGCCGCTGAGGGCTGCTGTGCACAACTTCCCATTGGTTACCAGTTATGAGGTCTCCTGGAGGTACAATACTAAGGTGCAAATCATCTGGGGTGGGTACGGTCTCACTTTCCTCCCCATGAAGCCCCGGAGCTCCATGCGCCTGGTCTGAGTAGTTCGGTAGGGAAAGGAGATAGCCATGCGTATAAGTCGTAGACGACTCCAAGTGTCCTTGAGGAGCCGTATGTGTGTGGAGCCTGTTCTGACATGTGCGGAAGAAAGATGATATTAGGGGTTACCCCAGTCAGCTAAGTTCTGACCTCTCTGTGAGGTGAGCTGGGTGAGAAATATGTGTAGGGCTGTGTTCAATGAAGGGAGAGACCAAGTGCAGGCGGAAGACCACAACAGCCAAGTACAGACCGGTCTGCATACGTTCTGCACTAAACTCCTGCCACACAGCTTTGATTGGGACATAATGCCAAGTAACAGGACACAGCAACTCCTCATGCCACGTCGTTGCCTCAGTAAATATGAAGTTCCCAGAGCACAGGTTCTCAGGTCTCCATCATTGCTGCTGCACACAAAGATATAAGTGAAACTCCACCTCAGATAGACAGAATACATTTGTTGCATTCCCTTCTGGTTTTAGGTATGAGTATGTGTCTTTCAAATGCTGATCTACAGAGCTTGCTAACGCTTGTAGGGGTTGCATGCTCTCAATCCTTGCATTGTCAAGTGAACAAATCGGGTTGATGTTCTTCATGATCCAGTATGTAGCTGCTGAACAAGATACAGGAACCAATTGTCCAAGGGTCAAGAATTTTGCTAGGCAGCACTGATCCAAATTTACTCAACCAGGACCGAGCTTGCAAAATTGTTTCGGTGCCCACATCCATCCAACTGGTAGGAGGGACAGTTGATCCTCCCACATCTGGCTCATTCTGAGGATGTGAACGCCCAGGCCTCCGAAATGAGACGTTGATATTTGATGTTCTTCTCGTTATGACAACTTCTTCTTCACCTTCATCTTGTTCTGTGACTGGTACACCTTCTTTCATGACAACCTTAGTACATGTTGTTGACTGCACAGAAAAGTCTCCGTTGCCCAAGTCCAGCATTGTGTTTGTCTTTGTTAGCACTGTAACAGTACGCTCAGATCCAAAAGGTCTTCTTCTGTCGTTCATATTGGAAGTAATGTGAAAGATGAAGATGAATGAATCAGGAATGTGTCAGGATCACACGCTACCACGGGTACCTTACCTGGTAGTCGTACTACTTTTCCTATTCCCGTCCCCGTCTCCATTCCCGCGTCCGGGCTTACTCCGTTTTGCTACTACGCCTGGTACCAATCCATCGACACCTCTACCCTTTTTTACATCTCCATCTCGGTAACTATCATCGCTCTTCCTCTGCTAGTCTACCTCAACATCATTACGAACCACGCATGCTCTTCATCGGTATCATCCCGCTCGTTTTTAGTATATAGACGTAGTCTTTTCTCAGCAATGTCTTGTCGAATGTATTTTGTGTTTTACTAGTTATATCATTTGACATACATCTCATCGATCTTACAGATCTCTTCGATACACTACATCACTAGGTTTGTTCCCTACAAGGCCTCATTGTCACAGCTCATCGATGCAGACTATTATGACGTCTGGTCCTTACAGAATGTGAGTGAGAAGAATAAAATTATGAAGTGGAAGATCAGGCTTTATGATACTCAGCGACTGGTTTTGTTAGGGACACGGTGTCAGGAACTGAGTACCCCTTATAAGGGAACTCGACATCTACCAGGCAGATGTCGAGTATTGAGCCTTTCAGCGAGGACGTTATGATGCAGGTCCCTTACTGCATTCATGACACACGGCCGGAGACGTGCACCTCCGGAGCTGCATGGTTCCAAACCCCCCTCTTGGACCCGGCCAGAGAACCATGCAGCTCCAGAGGGGTCCAGACACAGCCAGAGCATCCTCACTCTCGTGATCCACAAGCTCTCCACATACATAAATCACACTACAGATACCCTGTGGTACCATCTTCTGGACTCTTGGAGTCATGGAGGTCTGGCCCCACAACTTGAAATCTACAACACTACAACAATTACCTATGATACATCACCATTCAAATCCCCCCTGATTCAAGATATTGGCTGACCTTCTTGCCAAATATGGCATGTGATGATGAACAGCACTTTGATGGTCACCTCCCACACTTGTCTTAGTAGAGCATTTGCCCTGTGGAGTTACCAACACTGTCTTGTACGGTGTGGAGGATCTGTTATCGATGTTTTTCTTAATGGGAATGGCTAAAGGGAGTGTTCAGCTCCGGAGTGGACATCTCTGCCTGGGAACAATCAGGTCTGTGCAGCTCCGGAGGTGCACGTCTCCGGCCGTGTCCCTCCGTGTCCCTAATAGTTTCAAACCCAGTTCATCCTTTGTATTCAAAGAAGATATTTACACAGCATTGATAGAAAGGAGAGAGATAAAAAGTAAAACCTGTGTTTTTCTCTGAACAAGACTTGCAGATTTCTTACCAAGTATACGTCGCCTCCCCCCCACTCCGGCGGTGATCGAACGTGTTGGGCATCACACAGCTTTCTGCTTGAATCATACGATGAAGAGAAGCGTGATCGGTTCGTCTGTTCCGCCTTCTCTTCAATTCTCACCTTTCGACTTATCTGATCCCTTCCAACTTACCTGATCCCTTCCAACTTACCGGATCCCTTCCAACTTACCGGATCCCTTCCAACTTACTTGGTACTTTCCGACTTACCGTTGCCACATTCTCTTTTCTTGTCTTCATTCCCCCTTGCCTTCCAATATACCATATGTCTTCCTTCTGAGGAATAGGGGAGTGTCAGATCAAGGAAGTTTGACGGGCTTGAAGGACTCAATTGGTGGTACTATACATACTCGTATGGGTTAGATGAGTCAGATGGGTCAGATTGACCTTGCTCAAAAAACGACCTGATCATATACAGAATGTCTGCCGAGAAGTAAGTAGAGATTGAATGTGTCAAAAAGTATTGCATCATTTCTACCTCTGGAGTATGTACACAAATCCTTCTATGTCACAAAACTCAAATATGACCTTCTAAATTATCATTACAGCTGTCCCTGCCATAGCCCAAAATGTAGGTGTGGGTCCTGCTACATTCAAGGTACTCCTCTCCCTACTTGCCCTCTCTCTTCCTCTCCTTGTGGTGGCATCATTCCTCCGAACACCTTGATCATCTTCCATTACTTCCCCTTCCCCCGGTTGCACCCCACTTTGTCCTTGTCCCATCATGGAAGACATTTGGTGACCATTACTTTCTCCATTTGTACCATGACTATCTAAACCACTTATCCTAAAACCGCAAGGGCCAAATCTGATTTCACGTATAAATGTATATCTCAATCTGGAAGTATTTCCCTCCGAATCAGGGGTTATCTCCAAACCCACAGAGATATGTAGACGTCCGACAGTCATAGTTAAGCCATATCGACGAGAGTTTGGGGTATGGGAGGGAGGATTGACCAGAGTTTCCGTCAAACTTGGTTCGGAAGAACTTCTTCTTCCCTGTTCTCTTTGTTCTTCTTCACTGTGTGGGTCTTGTGAAGTCGGTGATGGGATTCTCACTGTATTGGCATTGTTGTTAGTCGGAATGGTGGGATCCCCCTGAGCTTCTTCAGTATAAAATGTAGACATGATGCTAGGATAAGAGTACTCGTTCCCACGGGGTCCTCGAACGCACGCGAAGTTCGAACAATGTTTATGCGACTCATCGCGTCCACCCATTGTTTACACTAGATCTCTTCATAGAACTTCATTTGCATACCTGAACTGCTCTCAAGATGGAAGCAGCCATTACATACAAGAAGAACAACCCATCCGAGAGCCTGCGTAAAGTGGCAGCTCGGTTCAACGTCTCTCATGTCACTCTCCATGATCGACTCAATGAGACACATCTCCCATCCGGTATTCGCACTGTCCGTCGTCTCTCTGTCATCCAGGAGGAGGCTATATTGGCAAAGATCAACCAATATGCATACCGAGGTACTCTCCTAACTCCAAGACATGTTCGACACTTCGCACAATCCTTGTCCACTGCAACTCTTGGTATCAACTGGACTTCAACTTTCCTCAGCCGTCATCGCGATCGAGTTTCGTCAAAATTCTACCGTGTACAGGAGATTGCAAGGATCCAGGCCAATACTTCAGAAAACAGGGTCGCGTTTTTAACCCTGGTAGGTTATGCACTCCTATTTCCAACTCCGTGATAGTTTCAACTCCGTAATAGCCAACTCCGTGATAGTTCCAACTCCGTGATAGTCACTGACACTTTCAGGTAAAAGAAACACTCGAGACTGGTGATTTTCGACCTGAAAACATCTACAATGTCGATGAGGTTGGCTTTGATCTGTCTGGATCTCGAAAGATACGCAGAGTTGGTCCTCGAGACGCTCCAATCAAGTCTCAAGCTGCCCTGTCAGATGCCATACATATCACTGTTGTCGCTACCATCTCCACCTCTGACACACCTGTCCCTCCCTTCATCATCTACCCTGGGACATACCTCATGCAAGATTGGACAAGAGTCCGTGATCCTACTCCCAATCAGCTGGCTACCATCACCAATAGCGGCTACATCAACACTTATACAATGCAGCAATGGCTTACGGAGTGCTTCGATCCCTTCACCCGTGATCGTGCGGCCGGGAACCCTGGTCTCCTGATTTTGGACGGTCATGAGACTCATACAAACATCGACTTCTTGGACGCTTGTTGGGACAGGAACATCATCTGCCGTATCCTCCCTGCTCACTTGTCTGGTGTCTTTCAACCACTTGATGTCAACTTCTTTAACGATCTCAAGCTCAGATACTACGAAGAGATCAGCGACTATCAGCTTGGATGTCACAAACTACGTCGTGACACCTCGATTACTCCACCAACAATGACCCTCCTTTGACCATCAAAACCCCATCACGCCTTAACCTCTTTACTCTACACGTAACTCAGGACTTCTGAGAGCAAGTACGGCAAAGTTAGACGGAGTTAGGCTAAGTAGGGACAATGGGAGCAGAAGTACGGCGAAGTTAGACAGAGTTAGGCTAGGTAGGGACAATGGGAGCAGAAGTGCGGCGATGTTAGGCGGAGTTAGTCGAAGGAGGAAGAGGATGGCCGAGGACTCGGGGAAGTTGGACGAAGTACGTTGAAGTACGTCAAAGCGCGAGAGGGTTGGATGAACGTCTAGGAGGAGTAGATAATATTAGCTGAGAAGATCGCTGAAGTTCTTCAGCAATCCTTGATTGTTGTCAGTAGTGAAAGACAGATAGAGATAGCTATATACAAATCAAGATACATCGCCATCAGTAGAACAAAACCCCAGTTGGAGTAACTACGCCGAAGTACGCCGTAGTTACACTCCTTTCGACGTCTGCGCCCTCTCGGTTGGGTGAGACATCGACTCAGGAGCGTCAAGTTAGCCGAGGTTCGTCGACCGTCGGTCTGCCAGAAGATAGTTGTTCGACGGCCGTGACACGTGGGCTGAATCTCACCTCTATCCTATTGGCCGTGTATACCATGCCCTACAGGCAGATCAGCGAGTCACTCCTCCCCCCCCTGATCGCTTACAACAGCTTATAACCCACAACACCCACAACCCTTACCAGCCTCTCCGAGTTTGACGAAATGATCCAGCGTGGTGAAATTACCCCTAGAAGTACATTGAAGAAAACACGGAGTGGATTGGAGAAGGTAATGGCAGAGAAGATTCTCTTGGAGCAGGACATGGGGTATCGTAAAGCAGCGGAGGCGTTGGATCGTGAGGCACGCAGTAAGAAGCGGGAGAGGTATCCGCTGGGCCATCTCTTCAGTCTGCAGTATAGGGAGGATCATGCAGCAGAGCTAAATGAGCGTCGGGCAGTGGAGGTGGAACGTAGGGAGGAGCGGAAGCATACAGGGGGAAAGAAACGGGGGAAGGGAAAAGACACATGTAGGGAGGTTCAGCCGATGGAAAACACACAGGGTGAGAGTTCTTCCTTGTCAGGATAACTGATAAGGATGTAGACCCCTATTCCATAAATTACGGATTGATTTGCTGTTTAGATGTCTAAGATGAATGATCCCTGTTCGAACTTCGCGTGCGTTCGAGGACCCCGTGGGAACGAATACTCTACTCGTATGGATAAAGCTTGAGGGTTAATGATAACTTTCTTTGACAAATGTAAAAGTTTTAGGACAAAGTAGTTAGAAGTATTCGAATAAAGTGTTTAGAAGTCAAGAAGATGTGTCGGGTAAGTAGACTTGAGGTCTACGGGGAAGGCGTTCGACGACCCGTCATGGAAGAAAGGATCGGTCATAGCCTCAAAATCGAGAGGTGAAAAGATAACGTCTCCTTCCCCCTTGAGGATTTCCGGATTAGGTCATGAGAGGTTTTTGGAAAGGGTCCGAGCCCGGGTCTGACTGAATGTTTCAGTTTTATGTACGGTGTCGAAGGCGGTACGGGATGGGTTACCGTCATGACGAACGGGACCATCCCAGGTATGACCGTCGCACGAGGAACGGAGTTCAAATTGAGGAGTTGGTCGGCCTCTCCTGTTCGGCAGCTGAGTAGGGGAGTTAAGGTGGTTAAGAGAAAAACACCATGCATATAAAATTAAATAGGTACACGTACATCATATCAAGATACCTCAGATCATCATCCAAGAAACTAAAGAACTAGAGGTCAAGTGAAAAAGTTTCCGGTTCGTATGTCTCAGAAGATAGTATTGGGTCAGACAACACTTGAAGTTCTTTCTTCCCCGTAACCTGTCTGGACGTGATAGGACGAGACGGTCCATTCTGTCTCATCGGCTTGTGTGAAGATGGACGAGATATTTGAGCATCAGAAAGTTTAGTTTGGGATATGGGTCGAGTGACAATCGAAAGAGGTTTTCGCATAGTTGGTGCTTTATCCAATTTGGAGATGCTGGTTAAGGGACGTTTGGTAGATGTTACTCCTGCGGGCTTTCGGATGGGGACCGCCCCTGGACGTTTCACACCAGTGAGCGAGTTCTTCGCTGGAATCGGTTTAACAGGGGGACAAATGGGGGAAGAAAAGATGTTTTTGAACTCGGGTTCATCAAGAGGTTCATCTGTTGGTAAGTTCATTTCACATGCAAGTTGCGATCACAAGTAGACTCACCCTCAAGGTTCAACGGAACGTCCAAACGCTCGATTTGAAAATCGAGATCAGGCATAACGAAAGACGTGTCGTCGGATGGGGACCATAACGGAGGCAGAGATGCCAGACGCTCAAGCTGTGAAACGTAGTCTACATGTCCCCAAGGTGGGCTGTAAGGGATTTCTGTCAAATCAGCATATTCCATTCCTTTCTGTGGTAAACTCGACGGGATGATCAAGTTGGACCTCGGATGTGACGAACACCCGAGTCAAGAGCGCGGGGTATGTGAGACGTGAGGTGATGAACACGACTACTCACCCTGCATCTTCGGAGGCATATATTCTACATCCTCCTCCCCAGTCACTTCGAACATCTTACCTTCTCCTTCCATTTGTAAACCCTCCAAGCCTTCTTCAATCGACCCCAAAGAAATCTCATCCTCCCATTTGTGGCTCGGAGCTGGAGTCTGATAGCTCTTCTCAGCTTGAGCAGGTGTGAGACTGATAGATTGTCTAGACCTTCTTCTGGTTCTTGCTGCAGAAGGCAAAGGAGCGGGGTCTGGTTGTTTGACCTGAATGCCAGGACCGGGAGTACGAAGTCGGTTTTGCTGCAGAGACTTTTGTTTGGGACCCGGGGTTTTGGTATGTTGAACAGGATGGATATGTTGTGAGAAAGTGAGACTTTTACTTGGTTTCATGGAATCGGAAGGTTGAGGTTTGTTGGTGGATTGGAATAGTCTCTTTGGACCTGTTGGTGAGTTACGATACGAATGACCTGAAAACGAAGAATCTCATGGAAGGGTCGTCGGTGGGGAGGAAAGAGATAGGGAGTGTAACAGAAGAGAGAAGAGATGGTGGGAAAATGTCAAGCGAAGATACTCACCAATATCCTCATGAGAGTCAACATGAACGATGTTTCTATCTCTTTGGACCGTTGTCCCTAAACCAGCTCTGATACCAGTGTTGACAGTCTTCAAAACCCCTGTGGTGGGACCAGCCCTAGAAGGAGTTTTTGTAGGTAAGTCATTTTCCTTGTTCGTCTTTTTCCTCGCTGTGGTATGAGGATGAACGGTTGTGGTGTATGTACGAGGGATGAAATGAGATCTAGGGGCAGGGGCGAACATCCTGAGAGTGGTAGCAGATCTACCTCATTAGCCCGATCCGGCATCCTTCTTCATCCATATTCCTGAGGAAGACTCACAAGAGATAGCTCGGATATCCTACAGTGACAGACAGAGTCAGAAGTGAAATGAACAGGTAAGGAAGAGAGGCGAGTCAAAGATGAAGAAATAAGGTGAGATACAGTAATAGAAGAAAGAGAAACAACAGGGAGAGGGAAAGGGGGAAAGAAGTGAAAGACAGTCACGTCAACCCGCCACAACTCCAATTTGAGTCATAACACCGATAAACTCCGCGGGTCACACTTGTCCCCCAACTTTTGTATCGAATTCACACCAAAAAACTATAAGAAACACACTTCGTTCCTTGCTCCACTTTCCCCCTCCATCCTTCTTTCCCTAGTACCCAACAGCGGTGTCAGAGTACTACCAAGTGACAGCGACAGGTGAGTGGTTGAGTTGATTCTCCCTTGTCTCTCATACCCTACCAGTTTGGTGGACATCAAGGAGGGATTTGTAGGAAGGAGGTTTCGAGGTTTATTCAAGGGACAAAGCGCTTACTTGATCCTTTCTTCTCATCATCTTACCCTTGTTCATCTCTTTCTCCTCAACCTTATATCTATCACGATCTGGTATCTTCTTCAACATCTTTCGGTTCAACAATATCACTTCGACATATACAGCTGCTCACGAACTCGCCGTCAGAATGGACAAGGAGAAGCTCGCAAAGCTGCAAGCGCAGGTTCGCATTGGTGAGTTGATCTTTCCTTCTCTGTCCTACATATCTCAAAGCATCATCATCTCATACTATGTCTCCATCCTTCTCCCTTGTACACCTGTATCTGTGTAGCTCTGGGTTCCCCTCAGCTGGACAAGTGTCGATATGGTGCGCTGGTTATCTTGGTGGTTGCAACCGAAGTGCATAAGACACCCTTAGAAGGATGGAAATGAAGAGGACGTGCTTTCTCTGGTCGAGTGATAAACCCCCTCTCTCCATCGTGAGACGAACAGAAACCAAGACTAACGATCAGGTGGAAAAGGTACCCCACGACGAAAGGTCGTCAAGAAATCAGCTACTGCTTCTCAAGGCGATGACCGAAAAGTTCAAGCTCAATTGAAAAAACTGAACATGTCAGATCTTGGAAAAGCCGATGAGGTTAACATGTTCAAAGAGGATGGAAACGTTTTACATTTCAGTCAACCAAGGGGTGAGTTAATTTCTTTTCTCCTTTCACATATACACATCTATGACTCGATTTTTAATATATAAATGTTCCACGACTGATTTTTCAGTCCACGCATCAGTCAACAATAATTCTTTAGTCGTTTATGGTGCTGGTCAAACTAAAGAATTAACCGAACTCGTCCCTGGTGTTTTGAACCAACTCGGACCCGACTCACTCGCCAATCTTCGTCGTTTGGCAGAATCATACCAAAGTATGACGGCCCGTCAAGCTGCCGCTGCGGCGGCTGCTGGCGGTGCTGGTGCAGGAGCAGGAACGGAGAAAGAGGGTGAAGTTGATGATGATGAGATTCCAGAGTTGGTAGAGGATTTCGAAGCGGTTGGACAAAAGTCTGCTGATTTGGAGACTTTAGAATGAGCAAAGGGAGGATGCATCTGGTCATTTTTCGTCGGTCATCGATGTTTTCGCGGAAGAGCTAGATGGGTGGTTATTGTGACCAGCGATAGGCAGACGGGGGTGAGAGGAAGTGGAAGATGATAATTGTATCAAGATGCAGCAGAGGAGTATCTGATCTGCTCGGACATCCCGTATTCTCATTTTACTTCATGATCATATGACCCATCCTATCCATACTCATCTCAATCTCACTTTCGACTCTCATATCATGTCCTCCTCACACATTCTTACTCCCCTGTAAACTTTCTACCCTCAGTCTCTCTCGAGAAACTTTCATCTCCCTATAAAGTTTAACAACCCTTTCTCTCTCTTCACCCAATATACGTTGTTGTGCCAAACTAAGAGGTACACGTCCGGTAGTATAACCAACTTTGATCAGTCCTTGTTTATTCTTCTTTTTCTCTGAATCCGTGGATTCTTCTTTATCTCGAGAATTGTTCAAACTTGCACTTCTATTTATCGACTTTCGGGGGTTGTTGTGCTCTATACTTTGTGAATTTCTTTGCCTGTCCCCGGCCACGTCGTTGATTTCAATACTTTCTGAATGTCGTTTATTACCGGTTGGTTTGTCTTGAGGGATGAATTTGGTCGATGTGGATTTGATCATCTCTCTCGTCTTTAGCCCAGTGACTGAGGAGATACCGGAATCTGATTCTCTCTTTTGTCTGATGTTCGATCCAGTATCGGAATGCAGACGTCTCGACTTCTGCCCCATGTTCGATCCAGTCTCGGAACTCAACAGTCTCGACTTCTGACCCATGTTCGATCCAGTATCAGAATCATGATAATTCATACTGGAACTTTGTCGTAATCGAGGGAGAGAAGGAGGTGCTTGAACGATATCATTAAATCTTCTTCTTGCCGCCATGGGAAATTCTTTGACGGGAATGGGGTCAGAAGAAAGGGATGGATGATTTGATATTTCTTCATCAGATTTTGATGAGGTGTTTTTGGAGTTGAGAGATTTGGAAGGTTTGGTGGATATGTTGGTGAGTGATCTGGAGATGAGTTTGAGTTGATTAGATGGAGCCTCTTCTCTCTCCCTCTGCCTCCCCCTCCCCCTCTCCGTCTCCGCCTCCCCCTCTCCCTTCCTATATCTCATTCCCTCTCCCCTTTTCTCCCCCGGCCAAGCCAAGCCATTCTGTTGATTCAGGGTGGAAAAGGCTGGCAAGTACGACCACACCGAAAAGAAGGCCAGTAGCATCATGAGGCAAAGAGAGTCAGTGAAACCATAAGAACGGAGGAAGGAAGGTAGGTAGGTGATAGGTAAGTGATTAATAAAGACTTCGAACCCACCTCTGAGCAATCTTCATAGCTTGAGTAACACCCGGTCTAAGTAAACTTTCTATCCTTCTATTATATTCCCCTAAAGTCTCATGATGTCCAATCTTTGGTATTTGAACTTTTCCTTTTCCTCCTTCACCCCCTCCACCTCCTCCATCACCTCTATCTCCTTCTGACAATTTGACTCTTTTTCCTTTTTCTCCATCTCCAACTTCTGATAATCTTCCAAGATCGTCCTTCGCCTTCTCCTCCACACTCTTTTCTTTGTCATCTTGGGTGAAATCAAATCGAACTGTTCGCTTTCGTTTCCTTCTCTCACCAGTATCTTCCGAACTAGTCTTCCCCATTTCCCTGAATCGACTTTGTACCTTCCATGCATTCAATACTCTAGATGCGTTCCGGGGTGTATCGTCCGTTATGGAAGGAGCAAGGTTGTAACCTTTTTCTTTAGATGTGGCTAGACGAAGACTACGTTTTGCTCCTGTTTATCAACATTAATCTCTCTGTTGTCTTGACGTACGTTTCGACTTATTTCAAGTAAGGTTTACTTTGGGATGGTAAGATGGTCGGTGAGAGAAAGTGCACACAGCAGGGAGAGGCTGCGGTAGGTGGAGGGAAGGGGTCAAAACCGATGGGAGTTGGACGGGTGAGTAGTGAGACGGCGAGGTGGGCTGAGATGGCCAACATGGATGATGTAGATAGTTGGAGCATGGTGCAGGATATGAAGAGAAAGACTGACGTTTATGAGGCATCTTATGTATTTATAGGTAAATCGAAAGTGAATGAAAGAGAGAAAGTGAGAAAGTGATCGAGAAAAGTTTGAAAATTTGCTTCAAAAAAGTCGGATTTTAGATTTTGGATTTTCATCATCATCGATGGTTTTGCCCCCCTTTTCCACAAAACAACAATAATTATACAGAACAACTCTACTCGATCCGAACTGACTGTTCGTACCGAAGGAGAGAGCTTGACGGTGAGAAAGGGTCAGAAGAATGTCATTCAAATTTGACTTTGATATCGTAAGTCGTCTCCCTCATGACACCCGAATTTCCGGAGTGTTCCTGGGTCGTGAGACTCGACAAGGGTGTGACGTCAAGACTGATGTGCAACAGGAAGAACAAGAAGAAGAGGAGGAAATCATCTCAGTTATCGTCCAACAAGCAGCCACCCCCTCCCGGACCGTTCAAGAGTTAAGATCGAATGATAAATCTAGAAGGGTCGAACCGTACAGAGACATACCTCTTGATGAATTAGTACGTATCTTCTCAATCCCTCATATCCCTAATCTTCCATCACTCATATCAACCTGTGTCTTTTCATCTTATAATGCTCGGTTCGGGTATAATCACAAGAAGTACGGAAAGCACAGAAAAGCGACAATCTCTCGATTTCTCCCAAGCGCTCTGTTGCTTTGGAAACGATAGTGAAAGGGTCGGGCTGATTTTCAGATCACAACTTTACCTGAAACTATTTCCTTTTCCCCTCTTCCCATACCCCACTCAAAGAATCCTTTGTTGAGGAGAGACTTATTCGACGCTAGATTCCAATTCGCTTCTTCTGCTTCTCTTCCCTATCCCTCCTTCTCGGGGGGTGGAGGAGAGAATCCGGATACGCCACATGCTTCTTCCAGTTCCCCACTAGATGAACATGTGAATGGTCAAGGAGAAATCGGTGGTGGAGGGAAATCCAGAGATACGGAAATCGAGATGACGGAGGAGTTTGTGGATGTTGGATCGGATCTCGTTCCGGGTGTATATGAAGGTGGTTTGAAGACTTGGGAAGGGGGTATGGATTTGGTTGATGTTTTATCCGAATCAATATTGGATATAAGAGGTAAAAGGGTTTTAGAGGTATGTCTTGGTTGTCCAAGTTGAATTAACATATCTTCGAAATCACCACAATCTCTTATCATATCCTGATCTATTCAATCTATTCCACATTGGCACTCATTCTAATGTTCCCTTCATCCATGCTGGTCAGGTTATTGAGTTGGAACTATCAGAGGAAACACTTCATAGTGGTTGCGTTTTTGACATGAGTCAATAGCGGACGACCCTCTCTTCTGGTCGCACCTGACGCTGAAAATCGTATGAGTGATTTATATCGCTGACTAACAGGTAGGATGCGGCACTGCACTTCCTTCCGCCTACATCCTCCGAAACCTTCTTTCCAATCCTTCTTCATCCTCGTCATCCTCTACATCTGCTATACTCATCACAACCATCCATCTACAAGACTATAATCATCTCGTACTCTCCCTTGTCACTCTTCCGAACCTTATCCTAGCCACTATACCCTACCTACCTCGATCAATTCTACAACGATGTATAATCAAACATGACGCCGTACCATCACCTCTCCCTGACATTCCCGATCATACCATCACAGATATAATCGAAGAAGACGAGGACGACGGTCAAACACCTGATTCAACCAGCATAGCTGAAGCAGACGAAGGCATTGTATCTCCATCGCCTCATCGAGCTGGATCATCTATGGACGAAGAGGCTGAAGTTGATTTTACCCAATCTGCAAACTTAGATCTCACTCCGGAACTGCTTATTGCTTTCCTAGACCTTCTGCGGGAAAATGGTGTAGAAGTACGATTCTCAAGTGGTGATTGGTCCGGCTTAGCGGAACAATTGACAGATGAAAAGAAATATGATTTGGTACTGACCGCTGAGACTATTTACTCGGAAGGATCAGTAATGCCATTATTGGACGTGTTGCGGAACTCTACGAGGCCACGTTCAGACGAAGTACTAGCAGCTGTCGATAACGAGAGTCATGTGGTTGGTGACGACACTCTCGAGGAGAGTATGGGTAGGTTGAACGTAACGGATGATTGGGTAGTAGGTTTGGGACGAGGGGAAAGTGTAATTCTACTGGCTGCAAAGGTTTGTTCACCCATTCTTTTATCCTCTTCTTCGGCTTTTCTCTTGACCCCATATCACTCTCCACCCCAGGTCACTTGGTATTCGTATGCAACTCCGTCTCTGTCCCCTGTCCAACTCCGTTTCCTTTACCTGCTTCGCTCCTCACTTGAAACTCATCACATATCTTCATGTCACTAAGCAATCAATGCGATTTCCGACGAGCCTCCCCTGACGTACAGGTCCTTTACTTTGGCGTCGGAGGAGGTCTACAATCATTCATCGAACTTGTCGAAGGCACAGGCGGTTGGTCCAATTCGGTAAAAGAATGGACAAAAGGAGTCGGTAGAAGAGTAATTCGAATAGGATGGACGTGAGTAATGCTACATATATAACACCGTCAGTTTCTCACTGGATCAATCAACTTTCGGGGTAACTTTTTCTACAACAGCGTCTCGTCAAACTAGGTTGAAAATTCGAGCATGGTCCGGGTTGTGGTCTTCCAATTTGCGTTTCTCGGCCAGGCGATGAAATCTTCGAGACGTCATCGATCTTGAAGCAGTACCACAAAAATCATGTAGTCAATGGATCTCCAAGTCTATGCTTACCATCCTTTATCCTAAAATCTTCACGTACTGCTTCTAAACACAGCTTTAACCGAACTTTTCTCATCTTCCTGTCCAACTCTTCTCTTCCCTTCCCTCTTGTCTACTCAATCCGCATATATACGTCTTGATACTCGCTCGATTTCTTCTATCATCCTACATCAAGTCGATCATACTATATTCAACTCGACCGTATTTCATTCAACTTGATCATCACTCAATTTACTCGATAATACTGAATTCTATCCGGACTTGATCATGACAGACTCAGTCGGTAAAACCAGATACCCTGTCGGACATGGCGAAGAATCAACACCCCGAACTGATGACACTCCCTCCCAGGCATGGCAATTCATAGATCACTGCCGCCCGCTCGCTCTTACTGTAGTCTTACTAGCTTTGACTTGGGCGATGCCCGAATTTGGCCCTCCCAATCGGCAGGTTTCTCATATGAGTACTCGTACTGATATTCCAGAGTCGATTGTTGAATATCCCAATTCTACCTGTGCGATCCCCTCCGATTGGGGAATGGATGAAAACGCCGTATCTGGGATTCTTGCGGACAGTAAACCTTCCACTCAGCCTATCGGTGTCCGCGTGGATCATGAAAAGTGTGGGATTCTTCCGGAAAATTATGAAGAACTCAAAGCTTCCTTGGAATGGTATGAAGTTCGATCTCAGTCGACGGGTACCGATAAGATTCTAGCGTGTGCGCTCAGTTTGGTAACCGATTTACCGATGCTGGATGTTGACTGGTGACCAGATGAGCTACGGTTTTAACACCCTAATCAAATCTGACCCTCGAGAATATCCGTCAACCTGAAGAATGACATAGATGACAAGCGTCAGAGTATCAGTCTATAACTGATGAGGTGAATACTTTACGTGATGCATTGGTGAGATTGTGGAGTGAAGAACATGTTACTCATCATCTGACCACCACTGTTGATTCTGTATAAATCATGAATCATGTTCTGTAACGCATAGAGCTTACTCCTTTAAATCAACCTAGCTCTGCCGGTCGGGATGTCTTCATGTCTCCGGAGAGTAGCATTCTTTTGCCAGGTGTTAGGATCACTCCATCACCCGGTCGATATTTCGTTGAATTTCGTTGGATAATGAAAGTGGTGATTCTCTCACAATACCACAAACCCACGGTCACTCGGTCTATTCATCTTCACCCAGATGGCTATATCCGTACTAGTGTCCCCTCTTTTCTTCTGATTTTGCCTTCCAACCAGCCTCAAGAGACTTCCCCGAGGGTTCAATCGACTCCGAAATGATTTCTTCTCACGTTATTGACTATTTAATCGTCTTATTCCCTCTTCTTTTCCTCTCTAATCACATCTCAGATATTATACACCAAATCAGGTACAACAACAAACTAAGTTATGAGTGATCCCGATGAGAATGAAGAACCACAACCAAGTGGTTATCAGGAGAGTACAGTCAATAAAGGGTTGGTGGTCGCAGGTGTTTGTATAGGGATTCCAGCTTTTAGATTGGTAAGGAACCTCATGGAGGACGCTGCAGCAAAACAACTGTCCAATGCGGCAGCAACACAGCCGTCCGATGCCGCGGCAACGGAACCATCCTTGACTGACCCTTCAACACTCTTTCCTTCTCATTCAGGAATAGCTGGTGATCCCCCCGGTGATGACCACAGTACTGTGACCCTGCAACTCTCGGCGAACACTGACGGGTCCTCGGTCCTCGGAAATACTGCCTTGGATCCCAAATTTCTCTCCGGACCATCTCAGGAGGGCTCATCAGCAGAAGAGAGAAAGACAGACTCTGTAGGCAAGGGAAAAGAATCAGAAGGGACAAAGAGTCACATCTCAGATGTGGACTGAACATCACATCCTGTTTTGATGAGCCAGTGAGGAAGTGTTGGGCAAGATGGGTAATCATGTCAGGATTGTCTTGTACTGTTTGGATGAAGGAGTTTAACCCATGAGAATTACTTATTGTGTCTCATTCTCATCTGTCAGAGGAGTAGACAACAGATTCATCTGAATACTGGGATATTCTCGAAATGCTAATCTTGCGGAAACTAACGTGAGGGATACACCGTCGTCGGAGGAGTTCCCTCCTCCGCGAGGCAATACACTCCTGTACCGCCTCAACCAATCTACCCACGAAAAATGGGTGAAGCTTCTTTCTTACTCTTCATCTAGCTTACTAAGAGTGAAGTACGTACGACTTCCCTGATTGGGTTAGTTGTGGACTCGTTGTTACCACGTTCCCGCGTTCTCGCGTTACCATCTTCTCACGGTTTATCCACCTCAAAAGACGTAATTCACTTGACTTGCTAACCTGTAGTAAGTATAACAAGGATACTACTTTCTCTTCCTGTTTCAAGCTCATCTCTAAACCTTTCCTTGAGACCTACAAGTATGCTTCATACAGCAGTCTCCAGAGAATGTAATGATGTCACTCCAGAGCAACTCAATGAACTAACTTCTGGCAATGGTGAATCAGAGCGACCAACAGGAACCTGGGGAAACACTTCTTCCTCACAAGTCCGGGCCTCACTCAGTCGCTTCTGCTGGACACTGTTCGCTGTACAATTAATTTTGGAAGGTGGCTCCCCTATTCTCAACCCCCAATCGGTGGTTCTAGAGTAGCACAACCGCAATCCACATCACACTTCCTTCTCCGCCGTGGAGTTTGCCTGCGCATCTCAAGGGTTAGAAACTCAATCTGATGGAGGAGAGATGATTGAGACATGTTGCCCCAAAGATAGTCACTTTGTGAAGTTATTGTCTGAGGGTTCCAAGACAGAATTCACCCTCAAAACAGGGGAACAATTATCCAAAGAGACAGGTATGATACAGGATTTGAGGCCCTTAGCGGTGCTAGGCTGCTTTGGGCATACACAGAGTCTCTCAGACCAGACAAGTTCATGATCTCAGGCAGTTGATTTTGGAGATGTAAGGTGACAGAGGGAAGACCTTGACACTTCCAAATCACATAGCATATTAATGTAATGAAGAGATGCATAGGCACATACTCCAAGGCAGCAATGGTCCGCAGTTGGGAGAGTCCCATTTTGTCACGAGACCAACTAACCAGCATTGGGACGATATAACAGCGCCCTTCAGAGGCAGCGGTCTAAACCACTGTGCTAAAAGGCCTATTAACTGGCGGTTAATCGTAACCGTCGGTCGCTGGTTAAATACCCAACCCATCCAACTCTAACCAAACTGACTTGTCACTTCGTGACACATTTGCCATGACCCATCATCACTTCCTAGACCATAACGTATTGTATAGGTTGCGAATTGGGTCTGCAAAAGTATTTGGGCTTGCTGAAAGTACAGTCAGGTCCATAAAGTCATGTGTCCGTGTTTCATGGTAATTTGGCAGGGTGTCACAGAGGATACAACATGTTGAGTGAATGGTAGGGCCTTGAGGGTATTCAACCAGCAATCGGCAGCTGAGTTAACGGCCAATTAATAGGCCTCTTTGTTGCAGTAGTGTAGATCACTGTTCTATTGGGCACTGTTAAATTGAGCCAATGCTGGTTAGTTGGTCCTTGTGACGCAGTGTAACGGTACTGGAAACACAACGGTTTGGTCGTAGGTTGGATTGAGGTCAATGGAATACTAGGAAGTTCTGAGTGGCTCTGGTGCAGAGTGAGAGTTGTGTCTCCTCAACAATAATGTAGCCAAAGAATGAGATTGAAGAATCAGCAAAGTTGGTACCTTACCCATCAACTCTATATACTATCCACTGTATGTCAAACTAACCATCTCCCGCTGCAAGCGTCTGTGTACATACTTGGACAGGTGAAAAACCCCTTTGAGCAAACCCATTTGGGAAAATTTTTTCAAAAGAGGAAAACCCATCCCTACCTAATGCAGCCTCCATCCTATCTGCTTCCATCCAACCCCATCAAGTTCCATGCTCCTTCCCTGATGGTTGTTACTCCGTAACACACAGGGAACCCATGACAGTTGACTTTTGACATGCTATACCGCACTCAGTTTGCCATATGCATGGGTCAAGTCATACACCTCTTTGTTCAACTATCCAATTCACCTCTGCCAAGTTGCTTTTGGCAGAACCATATGACTGAAACTGACTTGTAACCATGACATAGAGAAGAAGCACTTCTGACCAATTTGGAAAAAACCCCGCTTTTGACAAGAATGGTAGACTTCCTAGGTGATCCTCAGACAGAAGTTCTACCAAAGTAATGCTTAGCTTTTGGTGAATTCTGGTGAATCAGAATCATGCAGACATAATGGCAGAGTTTGACCCCCATGCATCCAAACATGTCAGAGATACGTGAAACCACACTCTCCCACACCACCTCCCTAACCAAACTACCATGAAGCTGGCGCAGAACGTTTTGCACCTGACTGTACATGTTGTGGATAACAACTTAGGGCACCACCCTAAGTGACACTGGGCACCACCTGCCACAAACCCTGAGTTCAGGCACGTACCACCGGCGTTACTGAAACGCCGACCACGCGACGAACATGAACTCGCCACTGATCGGGATTACTGAAACGCCGAACTCCACCACAACGACGCGACATGTCTGCTCGCTACCTACCAACCTGTCCTCACCACCACTAATCTCTTTATCGTCATTATACTAGTAAACTCACGCTCTTTTTCACACACACTGTCTCTCCTTGTCTCAAGGATCATTTTGATACTCTTCTCACTCTTTTACGACTATTTTACACCAACTTATGGCCCTTCGCCTTCTCAACCTGCGCCCTTCCTGACTACCACCCGTCAAATCGCTATATCTCTTTTAATATCAATCGTGGTATTCTCTCATCTTCTCGACACTGTTCTACTGCTCTCTGTGAGTCTGTGAGTACTTGTTTTATCATCAGAAGTGAAAATCTGACTCCAATAGGCCCTCTCGTCATCATCATCCTCGCCACTTCACCATCTCGCGAGAAAAACTTTTTTTACTCTTGAACAACACATCTTCAGCCTCTATCAATAACTTGACGCTGTTCTCCTGGCCTCTGTGAGTCTGTGAGTACTCTTCTCATCGAAAAATGTAAAAATCTGATTTTCATAGGTTCTCGTCATCATCATCATTTTCGCCACCAACATCCCGGCCCAAAAACATTTTTACTCTCCAATAACACCACCCCCGGGGTTCTCATTTGTCGACATGTATTCTGCTGGTCTTGGGCTACGAGTGAGTACCATTTTCACCTGAAAAACTTGTTATCCTGACGAGTTAGATGTCATCACCAATCCTGGTACCATCATCACCGATTGTTACGGAGTAACAACGAATCGAGAGAACTCCATCGAGTTCAACGGATTAGGAAAGAGAACGGCGAGAGTTGGAGGCAGTGCTGCAGTAGGTAGGGACGGGTTTTCCCTTTTCGAGATTTCCCCACTGGGTTTGCTCAAAAGCGGTTTTTTACCTGTCCGAGTATGTACATAGACGCTTGCAGTAGGACTGAGAGGAGGACACGGACACCTGTAGACAGTATATAGTACAATCAGCAAAGTACCAACTTTGCTGATTCTTCAATATCATTCTTTGGCTACATCGATTGCAGAGGAGACACGATCCATCACATAGCACCAGAGACACACAGATTCCTACGAGACTTCCATCGAGTTTGACCCAACCTGCGACCTAGTCATCGTGTTTCCAGTACCGTTACACTGATCCTGGTCGCCTTTTCACCCTCTCCTTCTAAAAAACTCAGTCCTCTACGCTCTCTCTCTCCTGATCTTGTACCAGAAACCCAGCAACATTGTGACAATGACAATAACGACAATGAAATTGATCAATTGCTCAACACCCTCGGTCTCTTTGCTCGCGAAGAACCAGGATTTGATTCTGAGGCTCACCACATCCACCCCCCTTTGACCTTGAACCTCAAACAACCATGCTAGCTGCTCGACTTCATACCCAACAAATAGCCATGACACATACTGTCTGTATCATCACTCTTCGCAGCAACCAAGACAAAGGAAAACTCGAACTTCAATGTGCTCTGGGAGGGGATGGTAGATCACATAGATCTGACGACTTTGAACATGTTAGAAAACGCCCTCGGACTACCAAGCAAGCCGCCTGTCACTTCTCTATCATCTGGCGAAGAGAGACAAAGAAGATAGCTCAAAATTGTGAACCCCTGTGGATTCCCTCTATCATTAACAACTCTCATAGCCATGAACCTATTCCTCTTCTCCATTTCGGTTTTATTCATCAAGTCAGTCGTACTCCAGAGGTTTTCCAATTCATCAAAGAACTCCTGGGCAGCAATCACACTTCTCAAGGGATCGTTGCTGCTGTTCAAGCACGATTTGGTGAAAAAGTTTCGTTAACCACTTGAGATATCAAGAACATTCGATTTCATCACGAAAAAGAACTTCGACAAGGCCTCTCTGCTACCAAAGCAGCAATACACCGTCTCACCGACAATGGGGATCTCTTTAAAGCTTTCACCAACACCAATAAAGAGCTCTGTGGCCTCGCCTTTACCACTCTGTCGGCCAGAGCCATGACTCATTTGTATCCTACCGTTTTCTTCATGGATTGTACTTATCGAACAAACCGTTATCGTCTACCAACGCTACACATCTCAGGTTTTACTGCTACCAATCAAACCTACACCTCTGCATTCGCATTTTTAAGTCGAGAAGTGACCGAATGGTATTCCCTCGCGATCAAAACCTACCTCGAAGTCATGGGTCCTATCCACAATGACATCAAAGTTATCGTATGTGATCGCGAGATTGCTTTACATGATGCTCTGTATTCCCACCTCCCTCATGTCCAATTGAATTTTTGCCGCTGGCACCTGCGAGAAAACATCAAGGTGAACTGTCGAAAACATTTTTCATCCCTTTA